CGTCAGGCTAATGACTCTGTGGTTATCACAAGAGGACTTCTCGCCTTTCTTGAAGACTAGAATAATCAGTGATTTAGACCAGTCAGAGGGGATCGTATTTGATTCCCATATACTGGTTAACACTTCCGTTAACATGACTAAGAGCACCTTAACACCATCCTTTTGAACCTCAGGAGTTAATCCGTCTGCCGCCCCTCTTCGTTTCAGGTTACCTACCGCCTTCACGACTTCTGCTAGTGTTAGGAGGCTATCTCAATGTTCCATTCAGGGTCCGACTAAATAGCAGGCAACGCAAAGGTAGCTAGAGGCCAGTAAAACTGCTTCTCGAAGTGTCCTGGCCATCGTTCCAGTCGTCTCCCCTGTGAGTGAATTGCAGATCCACTATACCCTCACTAACCGCAGTTGACCTCCCCTCACCCACCCACCCCCCAGTTTACTTTAATAAGTCTAAATAACTGTCTACTGTTACTAGTCGCCGATGCCTTTTCCATCTCTTTAGCCTTCGCTGACCACCACTGTTCACGGTCGTTGTGTAGACTTCTTCTCAATCTACTTTCAAGTTGCGCTCGCTCATCATTGTACTCAGAGCCTGCAGGCAGGGATGCCTTCACGTGCATCCATTAGTTCGGAAGAAGCAGCTGAAATCCACTGGCTCTTTCTAGCCACTCTTTCGGAGTCACCTACAGTCTTCAGCGCTGCTTTTACACCAGACTGGAGATGGTACCAAGATTCTTCTGTTCCGACAACTGCCTAGCTAACTTCTCACTCAACACGGCTTTGGTGCTTCCGTTGTCCAGCAGCACTCGTAGTGGTTTTGTTGCCAAAGTTTTCTTACCTTTATCGAGACGCAGGCATGTGTGTGCTCGGAACAACGCGTGGTCACTATCCAAAACACGTACTCTAGAAGGAGCCGCAGTCTTCCACAGATCCTCTCCAGAGATGACTAATAGCAATGTGGCCTATGTGTCCATTGCTGAGTTGAGCTCGGTCGACGCCACGTCAGACAGTTTCGATCTTTATGTCTGAAATTTGTGCCAGCTAAAAATAGGCAGTTATCTGAGCACAGCTGTAGTAGGCGATCACCGTTATCTGTACGTTCAGCCAGAACTCCGAAAGTGCCACCTAAGTACCTTTCTGCCTCACTCAGTCTACCCACCTGTGCATTGAAGTCACTTGCAACAACAACCACGTCCGAACGTTTGGCTTTTGAGAGGAGGCTAGACAGTTTATGGTAGAACTCGTCCTTCACTTCATCCCAACTACAGTCAGTGGGTGCGAAAGTAGAGATTACAAAGAGACAACGGCGAGTCTCACTATTCCTCTTAGTTCTCACTGTGCCGTTCAATCGGATAGCGCAGAGGTGACTATCAACTGGGATCCAGTCTACTAGTGAGTTTTCTGCCCTAGTGTCTAATGCTATACCTACACCTGCAGGACTACGAGAGGTAACCACCGAATCTCCAGAAACTCGAAGGGTGAATTTCACGGACTCACCAGATTGGCCAGGAGAGGAGGTCAGGTGAATAACCTCATTTGGGTTCTGTATGCGTGTCTCACAAACACAGCACACAGCGATGCCCCGAGTTGCTAGAGTCTTTACCAACGAAGCCTGTTGACCAATTTGATGGAAGACATTCAAGGCCCCAATATGTAATTCGGAGCGTGGTTTAAGGAGACCAAGGATGATGTTCTGTGGACTCACATCGTTGTCGAAGGCTGCAGAACTAGGAGAAATTGAAGATGATGTAGTATCGTTGGTTGAGAGACGTGAAGGAAGATTAGAAGATAATGATGGGGGAGGTGGATAGCAGTCTGAGGAAACTTGAGTGATGATAGAGTTGTGAGGGTGGTTGACACTTCCCGGCTGCCAGCACCGTGGAAGGCTATTTCTTCTTAATGTACCTGAAAGAGATTTGTGTGACCATAGAACCCATCGGACATCTGCTTGAGGCCTGTCACACTCAGCCTTTTGTGTATGATTATTCTGAGCTTTTGTTGTTTTGGGGTTGGGTGGTCGAAAACAAACGACAAATAAACCAACACCGCCGGCCCGGCAGACCATGGGGCATGGTGGAGTTATTTTTGGGGTCAGCCTTTTCTAACCCCCCCTCCCACTGAGAAGGCAGCATCAGCATGGCGCTGCTGATCATCCAAGAGAAACACCTTACTGCTGTTACACTCCATCCAGCTAGCAGCAGTACGACTTCGCCCTCAGACCCCCCATCATAGTGTGGGAATTTATACCACAACGGTAACTGCTTTTCGTCTAACCACTATCCAACAGACCTTTTTGGTACAGTAGGACCTCGAGGGAGCAAGTGTTCCACCAGCACGGCTCGTTGGGTCATTATGATGTGCAAGGCGGACCACCACATCAAGGTAGCAGCTATCAGTCAAGGAATTAGTCTTCACGTAACAATCAGTTTGGAAGAAGTTGAGAAAAAAGACTGCCTTTTGTTATCTTTTGAATATAATTTATTAACCGTTTTTACCATTGTTTCTACAGCAGACCTAATACCGCACTACGCTTCATCGAGGTGAGAATCGCTAGCAAATTCAAAAAATGTTTAGCTGTCATCTCTAAATACACACTTAATGTTCTCATCCGCTAACCTAGCACACACAGGTTTCCCGTCCACTTGTTTCCTGCTACCAGGAAGGTGCAAAAATACACATGCCCGTACTAACGCGTGATTGGAGTTCAAACAGGCATTCCAAAAACAGGGACTACCTTTCACCGATCCTTCCCAACAGTGGCTTATAGCCATGATGTGTATCCATCTTTGGCTTGCTGTCGGCAGACGTCATACGCGACAGTGTCTCTTCTCATGCTTTAAGTTAGCACTGACCAGATACAAGTGGTTGTCAGGACAAAACTGCAAGAGGCGGGCACCGTTGTCGCTGCTCTGGTATGGGATGCCGTATATATGTATTTGGGTTTAAGTTGAAGGCTGTGGGAAGGAAAAGAGTAGGACTAAAGTCTACATACATAAATTAAACCTGAAAATCTATTGCCACGGCCCCTGTTTGGCTAAGTAATCGGAGACGTGAAAACTTAGAGTATTTTGATGGCGAGTGCTGAGGTTTTATCAATCTTATGCGCAGTATCCACTAGATGGACAAGTATTTAGCTTTTGATGAACTTTACTCTTCCTTTGGGCAACCACGCTGGACAGTGTCCAATGAAGCGATGGTGAGTTCCTCAGGTCATTCTGCCTACGTAACTATTTCTACGGGAGAAGTTATATTTAGAACTTTGCATAGATGCGCCCTGCCCCAGTAACCTATTGTTTAACTGCATTAGCATCATACAGCGAATAATAAAGTTCAATCACAGTTTTGCGGCAAGGAAGGTTTCTTCACCAGTTTCCTGAGTTTCAATGTTTCTATGGTTGCATCTCCTTTGAATAGAAAAATCAGATACGATCGTATCTTCGTTTTCATCTGTAGGCACTCTTCTGTAGGTGTTTTCATTGTAAACATCCTCATATAAAGAGCTTTTCATCATTCTTATTTCACCGTTCAAAGTGTAGATTGTTCAAAACTTGCTGGCTTGAAAAACTGGTGCACGAATTAAATTTCTTACGTATGTAAGGGAGAAGAATGATGGCAAATGTGCATACTGACTGAACCATGACTTCTTACGAAACATACAGCACTTAATACTGCCATTTACTCGTTTTGATAACAAAAAACCAAGAAATAGCACGTATCCATCTTTACCAGTAGCAGACATGTTTTTAATATTGGTGGAGAACAGAGGAAAAGTAACAGTAACTGACATTAGGGTGAAAGGAATAGCAAATTGCCTTTGAGACAAAAAAGAAAAGAGGATCGACTTCTCAAAACTGTAAGTCAGTGACGTCCCGTATATGCTCACTATATTTATGAGAACTTTGATATCGTTACACTTTCCTTTATTGAGTAGTTTCTTCAGTTAAGCAGCTACTAGGTGTACAAGATATGTATTTGTCTACAGATTACCACCTATCTAGACTTAATTTTGAAATAAAGTTTCGTATCTTAAGTCATAACGGAAGATCAACTAGTTTGGGTAGTTGCGGTAAATCATGCGAAGATTCATAGGTATTAAAATTTTTACAAGTATGATTTATATGTTAGATACCCGGAAGAAAAATATAAGGTTGTTAACTGAGCAGTTATCCGAATATCATAGCAATCTTCATTTCAACTAAGCGTGGTGTCATATTAAGCCCTATGCAGAAACAAAACCAAAGGAACTTGGAACCATATCGAAACTAGCAACAGCCAGTTTCTCTCTGTCGTTTGGTTCAGATACATTCATGAGAGAAGAATCATTTTACCTGCTCCTGATTATTACGAAGTAAATTACCTTGAATATGTGAGCAAAACAAACCTTAACACTGCGTGGACAACCACATCACATCTAATTGCATCGACTAGTTCACATGTATGACGACATAAATCAAGATATGCACTTGAAGGGAGTGGAAATACCTATGAAAGTAACTGGATTGTTGAACATAGATAAGAGCAAGTGGTAGACAAACGTCTTTATCCATAGCAAAGCATGTTTCCGATCTTAGAACAGAATTTAGAATCTTGCATGGAAACTGTCAGAGGTGTATATTAAAGTATGAGGAAGAGCTGGCTATACGCAAATCTAAGCGATCCTTGTATGTTCGAAAACACTTTTCCTAAACAATACACACAGCAAGACTTATCTTATTTTGTTACATAGATTGATTTTAGGACTTCTCCCTTCATTCCTTTTCTTACTTCTGAATTCTTTATTTTCATATTTCTTTGATGTTAGGTGGTTACAGGCGAAACTAAGTTACTTATAAGTAGTTAGTCCAGAAACAGAAAAGTTTCAGTTTCTGAGAAATTTGAGAAACAAGGGAAAAAATAATATGAGTACTGAGATTTCACCTTTTAGTTCAGATGCAAACTTAAGATTAATTCATACACAGTGTGCACCATAACATTAACTTTATTTACACCACAGATTTGCTTACAGAATAGTGAGGATCATCTTCTTTTAGCCCGACTAGCTGTAACTCACACATTTGAGTTTTGATAGTAGCCAGATGGAAATCAATGAGAACATCACTCTTCATTTCTACTTTATTGTAACGCACAATTTGGAAAGCAACGCACGTAAACTAACAAATATCTTTTACGAGCTACAATATCCAATATCTTTTTAACGAGCTTGTGTTAACCAGTTGATTTCTTCTTGCTCGCTTCTTTGTCTTGTGGAATGGTTTTAGATCTTTTGCGGATTCCAATGCAGTAGATCCAGCCACTCATCTGTTATAGCTCTGATTTATAGAACAGGAAGCTAAGTGTTGGTTCGTTTGCCATTGACTGCTATGCACTTGGCTTCTTCAGATGTCGAGTTGCCAGACAGATGTTCGGACTGGTCGCTAGAGAGGGTTAGTGATAATGAAGAGGAAACCTAGAAAGTGTTTTTGTGAGTAAAAGAGGAAAAGTGAACTAAAGGAGTAATCTACTTACACCCAAGAAAGGTGAGTATGGATGCAAAGTTATGGAGATCCGTAGCGTCACACACTTCCCCAAAATCAATAGCCTGGGGTTTGACGACTTTTGACATTCATGACGACCTTGATAGTTTAACTGGACTCGCTAAGCTGAAGGCACCCGGTCAAGCACCCTTGCCATTTGACACGCTCTCGTGTTACATTGCACTGCTCGTAATTAATCCTCTAGCCAGTTAGTTGGAACGCATCGGTATCTTGGCCCGATCACGCAAATATACCATTCCATCCGACTACGCTATTGTGCCCTTTCTTAGTTTCGTATTTGTGGGTATATAACAAGTCCGAATAATTAGTGATTGGTCTTTGCGTCTGTCAAGTTCGCACCAGGACAAATCCCTAAGAACTTAGATAAATGAGGTTAAATTATGGTAAGTATAAGCAGTGAGAAGGGCTTAAATGATTACAACAGAAAGAAAAGTGGTTGGGGTGGCTTGACATCACTTCGTGTTTCAGCTATATGTGGGTGGACCGTGAGTCTCTGCATGACTGTCTAGCCTCTTCCTGCAGCTTTCAGCAGTTGGGGTGGAGACCACCTCCGCTAGTGGTACGTTCCAGTACCCGCAGACTCGGAGGGAGAAGAACTGTGAACGTACATGCGTTTTAGACCTTTGGTAAGCTATTCTCTTGGGGTTTCCTCGAGGATCTCCATAGTGGCCACTCGGTAGAATTCCTCTGTTCGGGCGACTTGGGTCGCTCAGTATTTTGTAAGCCATTATTAGGTGGCCTCGTAACCTTCGGTAGCTTAGAGAGTATAGGCCTAGGTCTTTCAGTCTATCCTCGTATGGTTTTCGTTGCATCCCAACAAACCCTTTTGTGGATCGCCCCTGGACTTTCTCCAGTAGGTTAGTGCTTCTTTTCAGCTGTGGTGGGGCGAGGACGTTATGGACCTCTGAGTGGGGCCGTATGTAAATCTTGTAGAACTTCAGAAAGAGTTCTGTCTTGAGGGCACCTAGTCGTCTACGCAAAAAATGTAGTACACCATACGCTTTTGAGGCATCACCTGGGTAATTGGAACTGGTATCCAGCTTCTCCGCCACCGTTAAACCCAGGTCTTTTTCTACTCTGGTGTGGGATAGACGTGGGCCACAGAGATGGTAGGATGCTTTCTGGGGATCAGGAGTGCGGAAAAAGATGGACCAGCACTTATCCAGGTTAAATGCCAGTTCGTTATTAGTTCCCCATTCATCTAGTGTTCTGAGGTCCTTTTGTGATGCCATAGATTCCGCTTCGTAAGTTATTGCCCTCCACAACTTGACATCATCAGCGTATAGGAGAATCGGGGGCTGATATGTTGTGGCAGGTCATTTACGAACAGAAGGAGCAACAGTGGGCCCAGGATTACCCATTGTGAGACACCGGATGAAGATGTTCTCCAAGTTGAGTAGACCCTGTTGACTTTCGTGCAGAACTCCCTGCTGTCTAAGTGATTCTGCAGCCACGTTAGCACCTGGCTGCAAATACCTAACCCGGCTATCTTATATACTAGGATTGTGCGTGAGACGGTGTCGAAGGCTTTGGCGAAGTCCAGAAAAATTGCGTGGGCGGGGATCTTGAGATCCCAGCATGCTATCCAGTGATCATGGGGCATCAGGAGGACCTACTCTTCCAGAAGCCATGTTAAGCGTCACTGAGTGCCTGTTTTTTGTCCATATATTCTCTGATACGGTCATCCATCACACTTTCCATAACTTTTGATATTACTGGTAGAAGTGCTATGGGTCTATAACAGTTGGGATTCTGCCTGTCTTCTCCTTTGAAGATGGGAGAAAGGATAGCCCGTCTTCACTCTCGTGGGAGCTTTTGTTCATCCAAGAAGTGTTGGAAGAGATTATAGAGTGGGCCACATAGGTTACTTGCACATTCTTTCAACACAGATGAGATAGTGTAAACTAAATGTTTTCTTCACGCTCGCTTCTAGGTCTTGCGGAAAGGTTCTAGGTTTTCGGTGAATTCCGATGCAGTAGGTCTCTCCAGTCATCTGCATTAGTTCTGGTTAGTCTAACAGGCAGTTGAGTGTTCCAACGACATCAAACATCAGTAACGTGAGTAGAGGAAACTTGTAGTTTTTGAGCTGTTGCTTCCAGATCTTGAGGCTTGGTTCTTTTTGTTTGGTTGTACTTCTTCGATGGCTACAGAAGTCTTTGCGTTTTCCTGCTTATAAGTTTGGGGGTAGTGTTTGTCGATTTGAAGTTGTTTTATTTGCAATTTGTAGTTTGGCATGTTTAGGAGGGGGCAACGGAGCTGCTGATATGATCAAACAACGGTTTGCAATTCCTGTTGTTGTAGGTACCTGCAAGTAAGTGTTAAGCGTTGCTTAAAAAGTGATAGAAACGGGGTGAGTGGGGAATGAGAAAAAGAGAAGCGAAACGCACTTTCGAGAAGATAAATGTGACTGGTAATAATATAGAGGAGAGATGCGTACTACTGCAGATGCTAGGGCTGGGGAATACTAAGGGAATACAGGGATGGAAGGGCGTATCATAAGTTTCTACTAACTAATGTTCGTGGTAAGCCATTTAAGCTCATCTACTCATCCGGTAGTCGTTTGAAAGAGTTGACTGATGTAGCTGTGGCCACTTCTGTCGGCAGCGCGTTCTATAAGGCACATACCCTATGGGAAAATAAGTTAGATCTCACTCTAGTCTTTACCCAGTGGTTGGGTATGCAAGCGAGGTTCCCACGGAAATGTCGGTTTAGGACCGATTTTGGGTGGTCCACTTGGTAAATGACCCTGCAGGCTGTTATGAGATCACCTAGTTTTCTTCGATAGCTTAGGGTAAACAAGCTGATTAAGGATTGTGCAAATTTTCCAAGCACTTTGGTGCAGATGGGTTCATTGAGTGTCGTGTCATCAAAGCCTTAGTTGATTACGAAAAAAGGATGGGAAAGATGTCTAGCACAATCAGAGGAAAGGAAATGCGAGGTAGAAAAAAGGAAAAGTCAAGGTGAAAGGAAGCGGAAGGGAGGGAGAAACCTGGGTAAAATTATGGAAGACGAGTGATAAGAAGAAATTTATTAAATAGTGTGAGACTATAGAGACAGAGGGGGAGAAGGAGCAAGTAGGATTGTGAACCAGGTTGTGAGAAGAGACAGTAATACTAACAGTAGGGGATAGTAATTGGAGGAGACGTCTAAAGCAAAGTAAAGGGTTGAATCAAGTTCGCGATGGCAGTGATGGTACAGAAGACTTGGCATATAGTTGACCGTGCCGGGTTGAGTGGAATCAGTAGGTTGCGCCAACACAGTCCGAGTCCCAGCGATATGTTCACGAACCATGTACTGTTGCGTAGCTGTCTAACCTCTTCTTGAAGCTGTAGCGTCAAACACTTCTCCAGAATCAACAGCCTATGGTTCGACGAGATTCAGAATTGATGCAGACCTTGGTAGTTTTACCGGACTCGTTAAGTTGAAGGCACCCGGTCAAGCACCCTTGCCATTTGACACGCTCTCGTGTTACATTGCACTGCTCGTAATTAATCCACTAGCCAGTTAGTTGGAACGCATCGGTATCTTGGCCCGATCACGCAAATATACCATTCCATCCGACTACGCTATTGTGCTCTTTCTTAGTTTCGTATTTGTGGGTATATAACAAGTCCGAATAATTAGTGATTGGCCTCTGCGTCTGTCAATTCCTCACCAGAACAATTCCAACATTGGTTAGCCTGACGTGCTGCATATCATTGATGGTTATGCACGGAGGAGTGTGCGTCGGTTGTTGCAATTCTGAATATTTCTCTAACGCCACCTGATCGTTTATTTCTAACGATGGCTAAATTTTTACCTACGTAGGTGCTGCCACCAATAGAAAACTTTGCGTTATTATCTGTCATTCGTCAACATTCAGCATCTACTGGTAGATCACAATGGTTTAGCAAATCTATGCCAATGATGGGTATAGAAACGACAGCCGGGAGGAAAATCCAGTTAATAGGTTTACGTAAACCCAAGTTGAGGTAGGCATACCGTCTCCCAAATGCTGCCATTACCTTGCCGTTAGCTGCTTGAAGACTGAAGGGCGGAATGTGATGATGCTCCTTTGTCGGTGCGGTAAGAACGCTAACTTCTGCTTTGGTGTCAATGAGGTGGCCAGCCTTCGTTTTTATATCGGCGACGTAAAGCAAACAGCTGTTTTCGTCGGCCAAGGTTGCCGTGAACGCATGTTGGCGTGATAGTTTCCCGAGTTTGCGTCCGGTTTAAAACTGCATGGCTTCCGGCATTTTCTGGCTTCGTTCCCGTAGGCAATGTGAGGCCAGCACCATCTACGGTTTTCCACCCTTTAGGTTTGGTTTTCGGATAACCCCACGATTTGCTGCGATCGTCTAAGATGCGTTTCTGTGGTGTGCTACGTAGCTCAACGCTTCCACTTCATTGCAGCTGTTCAACCGATTTGCACAGCTTGGCTACTTCTGAATCTTGGCTCCCGGGTTTATCGCGGACAGAATATACATTGGAGATGGGTCTGCTAGAGATCTCCAGTATCTCACCTGCCGAGGCTGCCAGCTTATCGAGTGGGACTGACCGAAGTGTCACTAATACGGTTTGCACCGGTCGTG